CAAATTTGACGCCAAAATAGCAATTCAGTCGCAAATATTTCAATCAGAACACAATTAAAAGACCCTGCCCTGACTACAAGAAAGGCGCGATTTAACACACGCGCCGCTGAACTGAGGAAAGCTGCATGCAAACCGGGTTAACGAAAGATCCTCACCTTTGAAATTCCCTTTGATCAAAAGAACACAGTGTTGTTTGTCATTGCTTCCTTCCAAATGGTAAAATCAACCCGCTATTCCATTAAGCAGACGGTAAGTTTTCTTGTCTATCGAACGAAAATTGCGAGCTCTAACAGAATCACATGGGTGACATGCTCAGTTCGCAGTCCTGGCGCAACTAGCTCCCAGTCTTTTTGGGAGCCGATTGATTTCAAAGTGAGGCCACAGTCTCATTCAGGTGAAATTTCTGCTGCAACTATCTACCGCTTTGCTTACATTGTTAATATAAAAAAAAATTGCAAAAAGTAGAATAAAAAATGCAAAGTCCCTGGGCGACTGTGCCTTGAAGATCGATTGGAAGGAAAAACCACAAAACCGTTATCTTGCTTATTTAAAACTATATAAGACACGTACTGTAACCATTCCAATCCATTCTGAGATTTAACGTTTACAAAACTGGCCCCAAAAAATGGCTACCTTTTTGTGACATAACAGTCTTACTCTTTTATCCCTCCCCTGATGCTATTTGATTTTAATACAAGTTGATTAAGGCTTCTGCTTTAGAACAAGGGAGAGCATGGTGCTTTTCATATGAAAATGAAACTCATTTTCGCAACATAATCTTTCTTCAAATATCAAAATATTAAAATTTTATTTCACCACAGTCTTGATCATCTTAAAGCTTGAAGTTTGTACTTTTGTGGCCTGTAAGCCCTGGGCAGTGGAGCTAGTAGAACAAGTAGAAGGCAACTTCAACTCCACCAGCTACAAAGGCTAGTTGTTTTGTACAAAGTTGGCCTCATCTAGAAAGTGTGCTTTCTTTAACTCAGAAATAACCTATTGGGGGTATACTAAAACTCAGTAAAAGGATGATTTTTTTACCATAACCAGCCTACCAGTTGTTTGTGGGCCAGCATTGTGGTTCTGTACTTGATGTGGCAAGTTAACTGGCTGTTCGACCTCCATTATGGCATATAATTGTTCTCATTTCTGTCACTTTGTAACATCAAAGTTTCAGTGTTGTATACAGTTAAAAAAGAAGAGAAATTTTATTAAAAAGGTAAACATTTCCAACACAACACAACACTATAGTAGTTGGCTAAAAAAAAGTTTCCTTTTTTCAATAACATCTTATGAATCACTTTATTAGTTTTTCAGTAAATTGGAAAGTATATCAGATCACCCAAAAGAAGAAATGTAATTATTAATAATTCAGATAAATCATACACACCACAAAGAACCAGATTGAATATTAACACACTAATGCACTAGTCAATTCAAAGCTTAAACATACCCCCCTCCCCACCTTTCCTGTGCATTTGACTGTCATCCATGTCCAGGGGATGGAGAATTTCAACCTAGCCTGCTTGGGGTGAGGAATTTGAGCCACAAGTGTCAAGTCTTTCCAGCCAAATATTTGTTGTGTATTCTGGTGTAATGATAATTTAAGATAAATAGTTCACTCTTGGCAGAAAATAGCAAGGTCTAGGTCTTAAGGCTTGGCCAATGTGAAAAAAGTCATAGTTTCTTATTTTGCATTTACAACAAAAATTAAGTGAGGCATTTAAACACAATTATTTTTCTGGGAAGCAGGAATTTGAACAAAACAGTCTTCAAAAGTTCAAATGCCAAGAGGTTACTAAAGGCAAGGGGGGAGGGGATGTTGAAGCTTCAAACATTTATCAATACATAAGTAAACTATAGACACAAAGCATGTTTAATACACTACTTAGTAAATACAAAATATGGGATCATAGAGAGATAATTTTCATAACCATGTTTGGAGGCCTAGTGAAGAGATAAAACTTTCCTATGTAGATTAACTGTTAGTCCAAAACTAACACACTTTAAAACAAAGTCTGTATAATTCATGAAAACAAAGCACTGCATTCAAAACTTGAGAAATGTTTCCTTCTGAAAAGTTTAATTTACCACATTCTGTTGCAGTTTACATGAAAGAGTGCATGGAATTTGAAAATTTATGTCATTAGTCATAAAATAATTCACATTGCTGTCTTTAAATACTTCACGTTGCTGCCCTGCGATGGTACTCTGGTGTGGCAGTCTCATAGTCTGTGGTAAACAAACTATCTGCTTTCTTTGACAGATAGTCTAGGAAGTCTTGAATGTGCGTAACCACAAATTGAACACTTTTTTCATCCAAGTTGGAAAAAGACAAGGCATTCCCTAACTTCACGAAAAGTCTAAGTAAGTGTTCTGCACCATATAAATGAGACATGGGAAGATTTGTGTGTTCAGCAAGAATATCACCATACTGAGTCCTTTCAAACTTATAGAGCAACTGTGTTCCAAGCATAACATTAAAATACTCCTGAATACCATCTGCAACCTCTTGAACAACTCCTGGCTTGAACCCTTCATCAGGATTAGCAGTTCGTGATTTTATGTATTCATCCAAAATTTCTTTAATATTCTTTTTCCTTGGAATAGGGACAAGCTGTTTTTGCCGAGTAACAAGATCCCAGTCATCTATGAGCCATTGTTTGAGATCATCTGGAATAGTTATTTTTACATCAACACGTGATATGTAGTTTTCATCACTTTCTATTGGATTAACTATCCTTGATCTCTTTTTCCGTGCTGGCCCAGGGGCATCTACAACTGACTCGCGTTTCAAAGGTTTCTCACTGTCCCCTCCTTGTTTATCTGTTCTCTTTCTTGATTTCTTGCTTTTTCTGCCAAAAGAAAACAGTTTTCTAAGTCAGAGTCTTAACTTAAAACTTCATTATGATAGAAGTTAAAATAAAAGAAATAAATTGAAGACAAATGTGAATTTTCACATTCACATTAGAGCTCAAAGTTCAACACTTTTAGATGCCATCATCTAGCCACCAAAAAAAACTTAAAATGTTTGCTCAAAGTCAATTTCTCTTTTGAGGGAAAAAATGAAACAAAATACAGATGAAAAAGGCAGTGTCAGAGTATTAATTAATGTATGTTATTCACCAGCCAGGAGGTCTATATCAGGAAAATTTGTGCCCTATGTCTTAGATACTGCCCAATGCTGAAGGCAATACTCAAGACAGAGGTGATAGTTTTCCCCAATATGAACAAACCTAAGCTGATGAGTAACACTTTCTTCATTTGTTCTTTAACTAACAAAATGCTTGAAAAAAGAACCCTTTAACTTAGGACCCTAAACAATAAGTGACAAAAAATGTTACAGCTTTCTGCACAACCACTAGATACAAGTCACTGGTCTGATAACCATGTGTGAAAATTTCGCCACTAAAAATTTCTACAACTTGCCACAGCAACCAAAATGGTCACAGCCTGGAATGTTCTTGATAAGTATCTCTGAACAAAATCAGTCATACAGTGCACAGCAATATTTCAATAAAAATCTGTAGAAATAAAAACTGTCATTCACCACTAAATTGTTCAAATTTTTTTCTTTGAAGTGAAATAGGTAGCACAATAACTGTGTGTACCCTGTGGGTAGAATGAAAATGATTTTTGCTTGATTACTATGTGAGGCCCTTCACAACTTTGCACTACACTGTTCTTCTCTCACAGCCCATATTCAACTGCTGTGTAAAATTTGCAAACAACTCTCTTTCATGAGCATATATGTCTTGACTTTTTGGTTACTTGGCAAAGCTACTACTGATTTTAACTTTTTCCAAATAAAATAATTTAAATCAAAGGACCAGTGATAAACTTTCATCTTTGAATAACAGATATTTGTACAACCAATTGTTTCTGAGTCTGAGCACAACTTCACAATAAAAAAATTATTTTTTAACGAATGTTCTGGAAACAGAAAGGTTAAAACCTAATATGCAATGCAAAGAGGTTTCAATTTACCTCAATAATGGAACCTAGGTGCTTGGAGGAAAAAATATGCACTCACAGTTTTTGAAATAAGATATTAAATAAAAATTCAGTCTGTACAGGTTTACCAGCCATTCATTTGTCAGTTTATCCCAACATTTTACAGGTGTAAATTCAAATACTTCACTTAGTTGATATTGGATATTTTGAGACAGCCACAGTAAATATTTTGTTGAAAAATCCCAGCCAATAACCAAAACCCAAACCCAAAAGGGCTTGTTTTGTTTCCATACAAGGGCACATAGCTATGGCTATTTTCATCACCTCACCAGGCAAGAGACAAAGCCATTACAACCATGATGGTACAAGTAAAATTCTACAAGCAGTCACTGAGAATTGAGTTACTAATGGCTTTTTTCAAAGCTGTGCCAATTAACTTCAATCCCATTCACAGTTCTTCATAGAGATTTTACCACAATAATAACAAAAACAGACAAACAAGAACTTTCATATTAAATCACATTTAACATTTGGTTAGGGTTGTTCTACATTTCTCTTTCAAAAGCACTCTCATGATTACAAAATATCGACAAATTACTGTAGAACCCCTCAAACGGTGTGTTATCTTCATATTGAAAATTTGATGCTGACATGCGCTTCTCTCCAGACATTTCCAAAGACAATATCATTCGGATAAAATGTTCATCATTAATAGCAATGTGGAAAAAAAAGATATTACTTGGCAAGAATTATTTAAGCTTTCCCTGACTCTTCTTGGTTCTGCATCCAATATTGTCAGCAATGCCTTTGTTTTGTGTATTGTATTCAAACAATAACTACAGTACTGTTTTGTTTGATTGGTGAGGAAAGGTGGGATTGATACCATGCAATAAACCATAAAATTGCATCTACAGGGAAGACAACATATCTCCTGGTTCCTTTCCAATTCCATTAACTTCATGCACCACTTTTGAAAAGAATTCCTCCCATCAAGTTTACAATCACATCTTATGCAACAGACTTCCACTGTTGAATTGCATGTACCTTGCTTTGACAACTAAATAACTACTGAGAAAAACCCCTCAAAGTGATTTGGAATAATCAAAATAATATTATTGGGATTAGACACAATGAATGAGGCTTAGTAAAACTTATTGTTTTGCATCGTTCTGGTCTTGCATTATCTTAGTTTTCCAAGACAGCACAGCTTTTAAAGCATTGTATTGATCCAACTAACTCCGATCCCTTGATAAATATTTACTTATGAAAGTTGACGACAGTAGAATTTATCCTGTTACAGCCAATTCCATGGACACGATATATCCAAATTTGTACTATTTCTGTCTATGAGCTAGTTTTGCTGCTAGCAAATATAAACTCAAGCTAGCTCAATCATAAGGTTGTGTTTGTAATTTGCTAAAAATAAAAACAAAAAAAATTCTTAACTCCATCACGAAAATGAATAATTGGTGAATTTCACTTTAGACTTAAGAGAAGCACAATTAACAACAGCCACGTATACATTTCAATTAAGCCGCACATCTGTGAAAAAGAAAGAGAAAGGTTTCTTGAATCAACTACAGCGCACGTGGTTAGCAGAACCGGAGACTGATGAGACTGATCTACGAACTTCGAACACAGGTTATCGGTTTTTTTCGCGAAGATACGATTAAAGTTCTTCGGAGACTGCAAAAAGACTTACAAGTTTTGTTCTCTGAGCTCCCTCTGTTTTTGAAGATTAGCCTCGTTAAATTTGAGCACCCGATTTTCCGGTACCCACTCGTCCCAATTTTTGTTCCAACCATTGTAATGAATGAGATATCTTGTCACTTTATCCTTCATCTGCCCTTTCATACACTTTGCTTCGTATATCAAAGGACCGTGGTAGCATAGAATACGTTCTCCTTCGCCAAATTTCAATTTAGGAGGCATTTCTAAAGTGTAATTTGCTGACTCGCACGAAAAGTTACCACAGGCTTCGAAAGCGAGTTCACGATCTCTTAAAAAACGTGGTACAATAGTCAAAAACCATTATATCATGATGTGTGATTGGTCCAATTTATTATGATTTGTCTAAAAATGACCAATCAAAATGAGTTTAATTTCTTTCATTTATTTTCCCGCCGTTCACTTCGCACTTCCTGTCGCAACTAGCGAATGGCGGTGAGCGGATCCTGGATTTCCTACCGAAAATTTGTTGTCTTGTGTTTGGTGCTTACGATACTTCTGCTATCCACTAATATTTTTTTGAGCTTCGATGATGATGAAACCTTCTTTGATGAAGGTGGAGAGGTGATCCAATCATGGAGTGTGGACGCTGTTGGAATCAAGGAAACGGAAGATAAAATATTCAATTTTCTAGAGGTGGATGAAAATTGGAATGAACGATATTCTGAAGGTGGGCATATCGCAGACTGTACAAATCTCATGTTTCGTCCAACGATGATTTTCAAATACTTATACGTAGTGGGACTACCGTCAGCGTCAGCACTTCCGGCCTCATTGTATGCACGATTTTTGCTCAGTCCTGCATGACGGAACGATGAGCCCTGATAACATGCTAAATTATTGTTTGTTTCTTTTGAAAGAGGAAAGGATGGCGGTGGTGGGAATCGGGGAAACTGATGTCCATTCAGAATTTCGGATGAATAAATGCGGAATTTCCTGGCATTTCAGCTCGATTGAATATCAGTCTAGGAATTTCAGCCAAGTTACCAAAATTAACAAGGAGCTACTTTTCTAGTTAATTCTGGTTATTAAGCTCAATTGTCCATATGGAATATTTCCCCCTATTATGGAGATCTTGATGAACAGATCCCACCTTTCACATAGTACCTGGTAATGAGGGGAGTTCCTGAAAACTGAGCCAGCCAAATTGATCTGCTTCAGAGAAAGTCCAGAATGCATACCTGTCAGGTGCATTAATTAACTAGGCTGGTTCAGTACCATGGAAGTCAGACTGTAACAGTAACTAGTTATTTTACCTTATTTAATCCAATGCAGTTTGTCTTGTTTATTTCACTTGCATTATCTTTCAGAAGAAGTTTACTATGATAGCATTGACCACACCTTGAAAAACCTGCGCAAGCCTGCAGCATATGCAGCCAAGTACAAATTGCCCATAATTATCTGGTGGACCTCTTTTACACATGGAAATGATATCAAGAGATGTAAACTTGGGGAGTGCTATTTCACAGAGGCACGCAAATTTAAAACACATCCAAGAACCCAGGCTTTTCTGTTCTATGGTACATATTTCACTCCAACAGACCTTCCATTGCCAAGGCTTGGTAAGACCTTTTTTTCGCTATTACTTACCACTATTTGTCAGGAAATTTAGTCATATATATGATCTGTAGTTCTAAAGTGCATGCAATACATACAGTTTTAAGGGATCAGTTACCTTTCTTTAAATGCTTTTACCCTTAGAGGCAATCAGTGGTTTCAGACTTTGTTAGGTAATGAGAATGAAGGTGACATGATTATGGACTAACAACAGCCACAAATTTTTTTAGCATGCCCTGCCTTGCATAACCTGCACATTGTGACAAAAACTGAAAAATAAAATAAGAGTATGGCCTGCCTGGAAAAACTGGTGTTTCTACACAGTCTAACTCATATATCTTTCTGATTATCAGGACACCATGAATGGGGCCTGTTCCATGAAGAATCCCCAAAAAACAACCCCCTTCTCCACCATGATACTACCATTGAACTTTTTAACCACACTGCTACATTTCGGAGATCATCAGATTACCCATTAATCACTCAAATGCTGTCATCTATACCTGAATTATTGAAGAAGCCAAGGTTTGACATCCATGAGAAGAGCACTTATGATCTTGCATCAGTTGTGTATGTCCAGAGCGGATGTAATCCACCCTCTGACAGAGATGAATTTGTGGCAGAGCTAATGAAATTTATAAAAATAGACTCCTATGGGGCCTGCTTGCACAATAAAGATCTTCCAGAAGCATTTAAGAGTCCTTTAACCATGGATGATGATGGTTTCCATGATATTATTGCAAAGTATAAGTTTACATTGGCCTTTGAGAATGCAATTTGTGAAGACTACATAACTGAAAAACTCTGGAGACCTCTTGTCTTAGGGTCTGTGCCAATTTATAAAGGATCACCAAGCATCCAGGACTGGATGCCAAATAATCACACTATTATAAATGTGGATGATTTCAAAAGTCCAAAGGATCTGGCTAATTTCATTAAAAAGCTGGATAAAAATGATAAAGAATATGCCAAGTACTTAGAATTTAAAGATCAAGGAATTACTAATGAGAGACTATTATCGTTCATGCAAAACCGACTATGGGGGACATCCTATGAGGAACAGAACTATGTTACAGGATTTGAGTGTTTTGTTTGTGATAGAATTCATGAAAATTTAAAGCGCAAAGCAGCAGGTCAAGTGGAAAATAAGTATTTTGCCTCTCAAGAACATTATGGCTGCCCAAGACCAGAAAAGTACAATTTTGCTCATTCATCTAACCATGATAGTGATGGTCAGAGAGATCTTTGGTGGCAGGAGTATGATCAAAGTGTGAGAGATTCACAGAAACTGAACCACCATGTTAAATCTAACTGGTACTTTTAAACTTTTTATAGCATAATCATAGACATCCCTATCAATCAGAGGAGTGTTTAGCACAAAATTACCCTTTACTGTAGTGAAGGTAATGGGCAAACCAAGGAGTTAAAATGCTTCTTTGAAATGTGATTCACACAGCCATTTTGCATACCTCTTGGTTAACATAGGAAATGTTTGAGTCTGCCAAAGGTCATGTTCTTGGACAACAATAGAAAACAACTGTTACAGTTCCAGTTAAAAAAGACATTTCTTGTTTCACAACCTTTGCCTTCAAAAGTGACTTCTAGTCCAAGGTATAAGATAAAATACAATGGAAAGTAAGTCAAAATGTGATATATGCCAACTCCCCCAGTTTTACTGGAATCTTCTGGATGAAGAACAAATTTCTCATATCTCCTGTAGTGTGCTCAATCTCTCAGTTACATGTAAATGAGTACTTCTCATTACGATATCATTACAATATCAATCCAATATCAAGTGGAAAAGTGGTAAGAAGAAGAGGTTTATCAGATGATCCAGTACCAAATTCTCTGAGCTATTGTGATATGAATTGTATGGCAGATAGTAAGGAGAATTTCTTAAGAGATTTTGGGAGTGAAAGGTTTAAAAGGTTTAAAAGGAATGGGGTACAGGTGAATCAGATGGTCCATGAGGCAAACATCTCTAGATTTCACATTGACAGCAGAACCCCCTTACAACCCCCATCTTCACATTTCCCAAGATTGGAATTTTTTAAAAGTGACATTTTTTCACCCTTAGCACTAAATCATTCTACACTATTGAATGTGACAATGTGCTGTACTCTGAAAACTATATTTGTTTCTACAATATCTATACAGACTGCTTAGAGTAATCACATGTCATTCCCACAAAATTATTCCATCAGCTAGCACAAGAAATTATGTATCCTTATGTGGTCTTTTTTTTTTTGGTTGAAACTTTGGTAGAATCAAAATCTTTTCTTGTTTTACATAATTTTGGTATGCATGCTAATGCAAGAATATGATTTATGCTAATACATTCACTAGTACCCATACAGCTTAAATCTCCACCAATGACAACAAGTCCATTATTTGGTTGTGGATTGTAAATGGAAAGTGGTACTGCTTCACCCCTCCACTGCTTCACCCCTCCACTGCTTCACCTCTCCACTGCTTCACCCCTCCACTGCTTCACCCCTCCACTGCCTCTTTGATGCATTCACTACATCACTCAATTTGCAGTTTGTTTGCCTACATGACTTACTCAGTACATTGAAAGTTAGAGAGTACCAGTCAAATTCCTGGCAATGGAGATGTAAAATATCCTGGCCTATAAAACTCAAAACAAGTTTGAATTCTGAAAAAATAAGTTGATTTGCACTAGCACAGGACTTCTCAGTGGGTTTTGCAGCGAAAGGGTAAAAAATAACTTCTGTTGTTGACTTAAAGGATGCACTTGGAAGTTGTCTTTAACTAATAATTCAATACCTGCTACAAGTAAATGATAAATAGTCTGATCAGATAAAGAGTAAAAAAAAAATCAATTTTTTTTGTGTTAAATGTGACAGGTTTTTATGCAAACCTTAGCATACATGTACACTATAGGTAAAAACAATTTAAAAAATACAGTCAAAATAAAATCATCAATAACAATTTGGTTAAAACTTAACTATTAGATATCTCATAATAATTTATTTGCAATTCTCTAACTGACTAAGGCTAGAGCACTCCCTGAATAGCCCAAAAGTAACAGTAACCATTATAGCTGAGAAATAAACAATTAGTACTAAACGTAGCTTTGTTAAAACTGATGGGTAAGTACATATAGAGTATAAACATATTTAATTTACACAGTAACCTTTTGTTTTTGTTTTTGTTTTTTCCATTTTTACCTTTTTTTTAAGGTGGAGGTCAGTTCAGCCTGTTACAATTAAGACAGTGTCAAATTAACTTGCAATAATTAACAATCATTCACCAAAGTGGAGGTAATTAGTGTTTGATATTTGTCATGCTGCAAAGTGGTAGGGTATATATCCAACATTTTTGAAAAATATTGAGCTAAAACATTATTTTGAATTAGTGCAAATTGCTAGCAAATGAAAAGTTACTTTTCTTCGCTTTTGACAAATGCTAGAAAAAATTTTAAAATCCAACACCATGCCCAGAACAGAAATTTGTATGTTGTTGGTATAATGCTCTCCAATTTTTGAAGAGATGGCATTGTATAATTATTAATTTAAAAATTTAAGGATGGAAAGATCAATTGACAAAGTTTCCTATGTGTATAGTGAAACAAAATAGAAAGCTATTTTGTTTCTTGAAGGCTGCTCTCATGCTGCCACATGTATGAGACAATATATTCTTTTCATCCTCTCCTTCTGATCAAAGTTTTTAACCAAATTCAATTCTTCTACAGTCCAAACATATAATAGCAGTAATACACAGTAATAGCTCTCAAATTTGAATTTGAAATGCCTTCAGGTTTCAAGTACATCCAGCATAAGCCTTAAGTTTAAATGTAACACCTTGTCAGCTATTTATTTTCAGGAATGTCCTGCTATGCAAAATACTTGTTAAATAAATATAAGCAAACAAAAAAAAAACATTAACATCCTAAAAAATTTATGTTTAAAATGAATGTTGTTAATTTCTCTTTTGAAAGAGCAATGTACACTGTATGAAACATATAAAAATACAATGCGATAGAAGACTGTCTACACCAATAGCACAAAACTGGGTAAGTGTGAGGGGGACATCATCTCTAGTCTATTCCTTACCCTGAGCTCCCACACCAGTAGTTGTTTGACCTGCCCCCCCTTCCCATAATTCTAATGTCATATAGTCTAAGATTGGGGTGGTTCCATATACAATTCTACATGCAATGTATGCAGCATTTGTGCAAAATTGAGAGGAACTGTTCACAATCTAAAGTATTGATGTGTGAAAGCTAATACTACATTTTGGTAACATAAAAACAGAGTATGATAAATGCATCTCATGGTTCTATAAACTGCACAGCTGTATCAAACTAGTAACTGTGTTTTGTTTATTTACACTAAATAACATAAGTCTATACTTCTTCTACACTATGTGCATCGTCATCTCCAATATCATCTTCCTTGTCCATTTCTTTCTCTTCCTGATCTTTTTTTCCCTCCACTTCATCATCATCTTTCTCACCCACCACATGAGATGTTGTGGTATCATTGGATTTACCGACATGCACACGTGAAGGGACACCATCTGAAACTGACTGATGCTGCACAGGGACTGCCACTGAGCTTGACGGCATCTATGAACAAGAAAAAGGATAGAAGATGCCTCAAAATCAATCATCCCTCAAAATCCTCTTTACAGCAGCAACACTGGAAGCGTAATTTAGAGGAATGTATCCCAGTTTCTGTGGCAGAGAGGAAAGTAGATTTGCTACTATTCCACAATGGGAAGAGTTTTCTAATAAAACTTTGTCGCCAGCCATAAATATTCCACAATGTAGAGAGACTCTGTGAGAGGTAATCCTTTTCATCCTGATAGCAGTATCTGTATTTGAATATGAGCTAGCAAGCCAAGTGGGAGCTGGTCCCAGCTCCCAATTGGCTAGGACAGTTGGTAGAACACTGCACAGGTATTGCAGAGGTCATGGGTTCAAATCCTGTACAGGCCTGATTTTTTTTCAGGCCTTATTTTTGCTGCTGCTCAAGTAGTGTTCATTACTGCAAAGATTGCTTTCATATTCACGTCTTTATCTGCAGCCCACATATATGATTTTCATATATTCACAGTCAAGTATCAATATTCTCCATACTGTTTTACAAACATTTCCTAAAGAGCTGACAAGGAGAATTTGTCAGGAATTTCTTTAGTCGGTGATCATTTCCTTAATTCTCGTAACCTTAATGTGTGATTCAAGGACAATATTATATGGATAAATTAAATGTTAGTGACTCTTTGGATTCAAAGGGTCAAGTGTCTATTCCAAGAACACATCACAATAAACACAGTCAAGGCTTGAACCTTAAACTTAGTTCTGCACCCAGCTACAATATCTTCCATTACCACTAAAGAACTTACAATATGTTTCCCCTTTTGAAAATTGGTATCACACACCAACAAAATAAGTTAAACAATGTTCATTAGCAACAAGTATTATTTTTTTCATCAACACCATGTGCTAATTTGAACATGAATCTTCTCACTTTTGCTCTAGAGAATACAGCTGCTTGCAATTGTTTCTCAAGCTGGAGAATCCTAACATCTTTTTTCAGGTTTTCCTTCTCCAATCTTTGCAATTGGACCTCTAGTCTGGAAAGTTCATTTTCCTAAGAAAAAACAATTGCAGATTTCAGTTTACTGATAACAACATTGTTAGACTACACCGAAAAAAAGATATTCACAACAAGTTACCATAAATACTTTTTATTGATCAAACAACAGAAAAATACCACAAGAAAGATATAAATGAAGATCTGTTAACCTTAATGCTTTGAAGCTCAGCTTCCAGTTCAGCTATGCGAGAGATTTTGCTTAAATGTTCTTGCTGAAGTATGAGAATGTGTTGCTTTAATGTAAGGATTTCTTGATTCGTGTCATGGTGCTGCTGTGAACAGAAAATTTGCAGTTGAATAAGATCTTAACCACCATCTGATCTCTCAAATTATCATTAAAATGCAAAATAAATGTTTTTATTGCTCCAATCTTTACTTACTTGATTTACACGCATCTTTGATGCTGAAAACTTTGCCTCTGTTCTCCATGATGGAGACAGGGGCTGTCCTATACTGCTCTTTGGCCCTGGACAGACTCTAATCGATTGTGAATTTAATCCAGGCGCCTTGGGTGGAGCCCCTCTGGCATTAGTATGTGTAGGAGATTGAAGAGTTAATCCTGGTACAGATAATGGTGTATTAAGTGGCGTACTGGGTGTGCTTTGTCCACTACTTGAGGAACCATTACTATTTGCCCAACTGGCACTAGTTTGATGACTACCGGGGTGTTCTCCAGCTGATGAGGTCCAAAGCACAATTTCTGGTGAACTTGAATTGTTATGGGGGTTCACCACATCTACATTACTTCCTGTCAATATAACATTTTGCCCAACATCAACTGTTACCACATTTGTACTTGGATGGTTGAGGTTAGGTCCATCAGAACTGAGAGACTCTACCATTGTTGGCCGATCACTTTCTTTCCATCTCTGAGGCACACAAAGAATAAGGATAAAATAAAACTACTATTAGAAGGAAAATAGCACATCATAGAAATGCTAGTTCTTTTTTTCAATGTTATAACTCCACATCTGACAAATACCTCCTTGTCTCAGAATAACATTCCTTTTCAGCTTTCTCATCTCAGCCAATCACCATGAAGGAATTTTTACCCAACCAAGGGCTAATTACATTTTATAAACTTGCTTCTCATTCCCATGATGCATTTTATGCATAAGAATTGAGAAGGAATGCACCAATTATTTGACACAGGAGCCAACTAAAGAGGGGAGGGGGTGGGGAGATTAAAATGACTGAAGCATAAATGTACATCAATTCATCAGCCTTGTCCGCCTTGGTTAAAATATCCTAGTGACCTTACCTGTGTTTGATCGATGGAATCGTCTTCGGCAAGCCGTCTTCTTTTAGGGTCATGTGGAGATCTGTGTAAAGAAGGATCTGTGACATTCCCACTTCCGTGGCTACCCGAGAAAGAAACTTCAGCAACATCAGGCACATCGGCATACACTGTAACTTTGCACATCGCGTAGCAATTCCGACGCTTCCCCGTACAGTTGGCCCTAGGAGTGCATCCATACCTTTTGCCGGGACAATACAAACATTCGCTCACAAGAAGGTATCTTTCAGTACGTTTCCCTCTAGTCGGAGGCTGTATGCCTTCCCTCAATCTACAGCCAAGCCGTCCGGTTACTGAAGGACGCTCTGGCCGGCCAGAAACAGTTTCCATAATAGCACCTCCACCGTAGTTTAGCCTCTCAAAGTTCCAGCTGATTTGCTTGGCGAAAAACTGCGGAAGTTCTCCAACAGGAACTTTTATAGGCTCCCCCCATTCAGGTAAAGCACAATTGCGGCACATGGCAGGGAAGATTCAGCCAAAAAACCTCTAAAACACGAGAAAACTCACATCGGAAATGGTAATTTACGACAGACACCAGTGTCACTTTAAAGACGCCATGTTCCTTTTGAAAGGAAACCGCTGGGCTATATGTTGCGGGAGCGGGTGGTGCACGTTTTGCCTACTGTGGAGGGGGTGGGGGATATCAGACTTCATATTCTTTCTTTTTTTCTTATTTTTAAATTCTTTATTTTTTATTTTATTTTCTCTGATTGTTGTTTTTATTTATTTCCTTTCTTATTTACTAATTTATTTTTCAAAGACGTAAGTTGAATTCTCAAGAAGCAGCAGAGAACAAAAGGTTTTCTGACCGTACCTGTTAATTTGTTTAAGACTCCAGGCTGAACCTCACTGGTCCTCGAAATAGGCTATTGCTTTATTTAGTCAAGTACTACATAGATAGATCTTATATAAAAGTATGTTATATATATTGTGGCAAAATGATTATCTTTTAATTTGTTGCTGTTGTTACTACTGTTGTTGTCGAAATCTTAAATAACTTCACCGCTGATGATTAACACACCTTCACGGGCAATGGTTTGGACTATCCCGAAACAAACGTAAAAACGGGGTAACGAAATACGGTGGGGGTCCCTGACGAGCTCTTACCTTCTCTTATGACTGAGGGTCCGGAAGAGGCATCCGGCATAACTTAAAAATTCACTATTCCAAATAATTTCTCTCGCTACTGCTTTCCGCAATTTTATCACGAGAACTGTTTCAGCCCTTGTCCTCTTTCATTACGCATTCGTTTTCTGAAATGCAGAAGCTCTAATGGATCAAAATTTGGTATTCGTGAAAAATTCTTTGAACGCAGATTCCACACCTTACACCGCAGAATTGAGGAGACAATCCAAAGTTCCGGTGCCGCCTATGTGGGAAAAAAATCCCCTTATTTGCGAACCAATCAAGTCACTGGACTTGGAATCATTCGGTAGTGTCACATTTCGGACACTGACACAACAACCAAGTAGCAGACGTTGCTGGTAAGATATCGTCAAGAGTTTCCTCTGGATTTCTGACGATTTTGCGGCTTCCCTTTTCTTAGCTCTTGCATTGAAGGTTTTTTTCTAACGAACATGAAGTTGTTGTGGACTGTGGCTCTTGTGATCTTCGTCCTCTTCGTAGTAGAGGCAAAAAAGGTGAGATTCTATGTCGTGCAGTTGCTTGTGATCCTCAAAGACTCTGTTATTATCTCCTTTAGTAAGCATCAAGCATTCATATTCATCCTTATATCGCTAACTTCTCGAAAAGATCTCAAAGTTTCAAATTTTATTTGAACATAGCGGATGGTTGGCTCACGTCGCACTAGTGAGTAAAGTAAAGAAGAAGCAAGTAAAACCTCATGACAATCGAAATTGTCCTCAACGTGGCAATTTTGACATCGGTCGTAAAGGCGTCCCTAATACCTTCGATGCCTCCGCTTATGACAGATCAAGATTTTCTCCAAGTGAATTATATTGTAGTTTTCAGACTTGCAGTTCATTTGAAAGCGATCGATAATGGAAATATATTTTTTGAAAGAATACTAATCAATTTTGCAGACAGCGACGTTTTTAGTCTGCTGTCCTGTGTCGAGATGTGATATTATTTCAATTGTTTTTTGCGGAGGTGATCCTTTCTCTCCGAATTCCAGGGCTTCCATCGGTGGAATAACTTTGCCTTCCCGAATTTTTAAAGCCACATTTGGCCAAAACTGTTTTCATGTTGCTCTTAGGTTAAATAAGTTATTTGGGGATGTTCCAAAAAGTGTCAATGTTTCAAACAATGTGTCTTTGTTTACGAGGAACAAGACAAATAACAGAGGGAGTCAAGGGTCGATTATTTTACTTGTGAATGCGCGATGTTCGATTGTACGACCATAGTCAACCCAGGCTCTGTGTTTTTCTCAAGATACTGTGGCAATACAGGGTTTCTGTTGGATTAAATTGAGGTCTGGAAATTGGTAAAAAACACTAGTGAGAATCAATGAAATTCACCATGTGGTTACCTATGGTTGCATTTATGGTTGATGCATCAATTTTTATCTATGAGGAATTATGGGTAATGGAAGAGAACCATGGTATGTTTCATCAATTTCTTGGACAATTTCTTACCACTTTTCAGACCTGAACTTTGCACTGTAAAAACAATGTTACCATATTTGATAGTTATTCATAAATTTTGGACAACAGGACAGGATTCAAGAACTGAAAAAGTGGGCTCATTGGAATCAGATCAAGAAGGCTGTTCTACAGGAACGCTTGCCAACGGCCCGTAAGTTTTTTAAAAGACTGACATTGACTAGCTCAAGGGGAAAATGTAAGAATTAATCTATGGATGAAATGGGCGTTTGGTAATTACCAAAGTGATATATCTCTGAAAAAAATAGGAAACAAAAGGTTGCATTTTTTCCCAGAGTGGATGAGAGAGAACAGTAAATAGAAGTATCCATTTTGTTTTTAGTAGGATTAGATGTGGATCCTGTCTAGCCTTAAACACATCAGCATAGTACTAAAAAACATCACTAACAATGAAAATGAATGACTGTGAATATATGAAAATCATAGATGTGACCTGCAAACAAAAAAAGGAATATGAAAGTGATCTTTGTGGCAACTGCTTAAGTAAAGTCCACTATATTAGAGAAAAAATAAAAAATAAACCCTTCATTTCCACGATTGGGCGGCCTGTGTAAGAGATGGTTTGATCCTTTAACTCCCAAAAGTGATCAACACATACCTTCTCCCTTTAATATCTAAACATTATCTGGCAAATAGGTCATGAGAATACTCAAACTTATCAGGCACAAGTTGCCATCTTGATCTAACACTAAATTCTCGTAACTTTTTTAAAAGAAAATATGTAACAGTTACAGGAAAGACTTAACATTCAGATCTTGGTAGTTAAAGGTTTTAATTTTTGTATTGTTATTTTGAAACTGTGATTTCTATCTTGATAAGGAACACTTAATTACCCAGCTTATCATGATGATAACTGTCTTTTCATATATGTTCTTCAGCTGACACAGAAAACTGCACAGCTTTGCCAGACCGTCTGTTGGATTGGTTCCATGTCTTGCGTGCAATGCACATCAGGGAGGAGCAGAAGAAGAATGGTGATTTTGAATCACAAAGGCCTGGAGAGGCAATTCCACACTTGAAACTGAGGGAAGCAAAGATGCCTTTTCCATCAGGTGTGCAATCAGATAATGAACTTAGATCTGGTCATTTTATATTTCCACTGTGATTTCTCTTCTGTGTTTGTATAATTTTGTGGATTGTCTTCATGCATTGTTTTTCTAGTGGGTAAGTTAGCATGAGAATTAAGTTGCCCTGTTGATAGGAAATTTTTTAAACCAAAAAGAGAAGAAAACTTTTTTCTGGTATTCAACTGTGCTTGCCTTTAAATTTTATTATCGTTCAAATTCTTGTAGCTACAGCTGTCTTTGTTTCTGTTGAGCGATTACCTCTAAATGTTTGTGAATGTAACCCCCTATTTTTCCATTGGAAATGCGGATAAACTATTCCTAATTTTGTGATTGAATATATGTGTCTTTTTCAATATGTTAAGGCTCTGATCAAAGTGTCATCCGAGAGCCAATTAGTTCTGTGTTCCGTCTTGTGTTGGATAAAAACCATGATGGTGTGTTGGATGAGTCTGAACTGGAAGTCATTTACGACATTGCAACAGAGCCTTGCATAAAAAAGTTCTTCAAGAATTGTGCCAATGAGAAGGAGACCTTTACTGAAGCTGAGTTTTGCAGTTGTTTCATATCTGTTGGTAAATGGAGATTTTCTCTAGATTTTTAATAAATAAAAGGGAGTAGAAGTATGGGTACCAGAAAATAACTCTAAGCATATTTATATGCCAGATGGGAATTATTTTGTGCGTACTGCTATGTTTTGAAAATAATAATTTGGATTCATTATAAGTTGATTATTATCAGTTGTGGCCAGGTGCAGTAACAAGTCTAGAACAAATTACAGGTAAAAAAAATTATAAATTTGAAAAAACAAACTATTTAATGCCGAAGCATCAGAAGAAAGTCAAGAATATAACTAAAGACAAGTCATTCTTGATTGCACTTACTGTTTCATGCATCAAATGTTCAAATGTTCAAATCAGTCTACATTGTTTTGTAGAACCACCCTGCTTGCACAGGCTGCGTAAACACCTACCAGCTCTTCTCATCAGAGGAGAAGCACATGTCCTGCCTGGTGTTTACACTCCCTCTTGTGACGAAGATGGCTTTTATTTGCCTCGTCAATGCAGAGCTGCAGACCGTCAGGGAATAAAGGAATGTTGGTGTGTGGACCGACATGGCAGCAAAATTGAAGGCCTTTCAGATTGTGGTGGGTATTCTGAGATGTGTGTCTAGTTGTATGGTTGGAGGTTTCGTAATTTTCTTTTTCCATATGGTCATGAAGCACTCAGCTATGAGCAGTTAGTAACACAGGGGAATGTGCTGATAAATCATCTCCTTAATGCTACAGGAAATTTTTTTGTTTATTGTTTCAAATTTATCCAGTTTTCACCAAGTAAGAGCACAGTAAATTGCCTTGTATAGTCTACTAAGTTTGCAATAATTTGCACTTAAGAAAAATATCTCTGTTATTTTTTACGCCAACATTCCAAAGGACATGAACTTACAATTCTTTCAGTTTGAATTATGTTGTCTAGAGCCAAAAACATGTTAATTCGATTTTAGCTCAGCAGGGAAAGTTTTTTAGGTGTACTGATTTTTGCCAACTCATCAAACAGATATCAGGGATGGGATTCTTCAACTATGAAATCCCACATCACCATCTCAACACTATAGGTTTTTTTTTATCTTTTAAAATTGCCAGAAAAGGAATCACATACACCCGAGGAAATCCGTTGACATTTTCACATACAAAATGTGAATTATTCAACATCATTCAATCAGGAAATTGTAAGAATATGTTTATAGTGAATAATATTTTTATCTTTTTCAGTGGACAACACAGAACCGACTAAGAGAGAAGAATAGAGGAGAAGCCACTTATGAATCAGTCACCTTAGATTCTATTGTGCTGAGTATTCTTGGTCTTTTAATGTTTTAGCATTGATTGCATAGACACCAGTTTAAGTTACTGCAGCAAACTGTGAAATGTTATAACCTTAAAATTTTACCTTTGTTTGCTCAGAATATTTGAATTGAGATAGAAGATAAATGTAACTGAAAATAATTTTGATATATTTTTCTTAACTAATTTTGTATTAAATCATTGTAAAGAAAGGCAAAGTGTTAAGTAGTGGGGTTGGTTTAGTGCAGCATGCACTATGGGTTTGTTGAGAGTATTTTTCACTTCTTAATAAAATTAACAGACTGTCTCTGGAAAGGGAATTTTGTGTAGTCTTTTGACACTCTCAGTAGTTCTTTTCCCAAATTTTATGTACATTGCAAGGAGGTGTTTGACAAGCTAAAACCCTTATTCATTTAGAAGGGTATTGCTTGTGACACAATGAATCTAATAATTGCCTAGAGCCCACCATCTAGATCACTGCAGCTCAGTTGCAAAGCATTGTCGTAGAAATCTGAAGGTCCAGGGTTTGATCGATCATGTGTGGCTCTGTACTTAATTTATATCAACCTCCTTAGAACGATGATAAACGACTTTCTTTAGTTCATGACAAAGCTCATCTTCCTTGAAAAAGATAATGATAATTGGAGTTGGAGATGTTCCAGAAAACTTTTAATAAGATGCCCCTTGGTTATCAGCTGAGTTCTCCTTCACTTCTGTGTCATCCCCCCTCCCCCTTCAAGAAACTAGCCTGAGAAACTTCTGCCATAATGGATGATGTTTCCAAAATCTTCAGTTCACTACAACTTTCTTGAACGTGTTTGGAAATTCAGTTAGCGGTCACGGCCACGTAGAACCACCCATTATTGCGTAAATGTAGGTTAAACATAGGAATGGCATGGGTAAAATTTCCGAATGTGCTGAATGGGCGCACCCTAAAATTCGCAGAGTTATTTTCACGTGGAATTTCCGGTTTGGAATTGTGGCCCAGCATGACGTCACGACTTTTTTGCAGCTTCTATTTATAGAGAAGAGTCCTCGGGCTCTAGCGAACCGACGACGGTATGGCGGTTAATCGCATTGCTTTGCCTTGCCTTTTTCTTGCGCTTCTTGTAAGTTCAATTGCATATTTTTCGTGCTGGAAATATTTGTTTCATGTTTTTCATAACTGCTGATTCTCTCCACGTCTTTCCTACTAGGTTATTGGCGTGAAGAGCCGGGAAGATTTCGATGAAAGTTCTTCAGGTATCGATTACTTTCACGCAAGTCATAATTGAAAGCTTCAGCACAGCTTATATGACACAGAAGACAAAATTTGTCTTCGCTAGCGCTTTTTAAAGTTCTTTCATAAGTGTGGTGTAGTCTGAAATGCGAAAGTTGATTGGTTGTTGTTTGTTGGTTGTTGTTGTCAAGGCGCGCTTCAAGCAGTTGGTTTCTTCCGTTTGCCTTCTGCGTCTCACAAAACATCTGTGCTGAAGTTCTCAAGTAGAATATAAATTTTATGAATGTTGTAGGTTGTCAAAAATCGGTTGAAATGTCGTAGCTTAGATTGACAAAGAGTGAGACAGGGGAAGGATAAAATGTCAATTTCTAAATATAGCACATGACAAAAGACGCTACAATATTGAAAGTTGGCTGATTCATTCGTAGAATTTGGTTTGCTTACAAATTTATCATCGTACCTTCTTTCATATGCCGTGTTGACTAGCCAACTTTGCAACTGTGTTTTTAACTGTCACAACTAGCCAGCAGGGAATATTATAGGGCATTTTACAAAAGCTGTGATAACTATCGTTATCAATCGATTGTCGCCCATCGAATAAAATTAATTGAACGTTTCTGATTGTATTGTGATTAGAAGAGAACATATATGTATGGTACAACTATGAAATCCTCTCTGTCTTTCTTGTTCATATTACAAGCCAGTCAATGCGGATTCAATCCCAGCTGAAGGGAGACCATGACCATTTTTCTGTTTGACATCATATTCATAAAAAATGTGCGTAAATTGTTGTCAGGGAAGTAGAAAGCGATTCTTGGAAATTAACACTACCCTGGAATAAATTAATTAATGCGGTCCTTAATTAAGTGATGCAGCATCGAAAACTTTCAATATCCAATAAAACTGTGGCAAATATGCCATAGATGAGGGAAACCAGCTTTGCTGGCCAAATTACAGAAAACAGGGCTACTTTTAACCATCCATTAAATAAGACAACTCATTTAGCTAGCTTGCTCTTCCACTGCTGAGCCAAAGGAGCCACTTAATATATTGTTGTAAGAGTTCACACGCGTGTTCCCTCATTCACTAATGAGCCTTATGAGCCAAATGAGCCACTGAATATATAAATCTTGGACTAACATGCTTAAGGATTAATCTCATTCTTTCATCCACTACCTGGCCAAAGGAGCCAAACATTAGCCACTAAATATATAGACCCTAGATTATTCCTCATTATTTCATCCACTGCTGAGCCAAACAAGTCATAAAACATTAAACTTCTGTATGACTTAACACATGTATTCATCATTCTTTGTTTTTTATCCACTGATGAGCAAAATTAGCCACTGAAGAGAGCCACTGTATATATGTGTTCCTTCAAAAGTGGCCCTGTATTGTGTAGTTTCCCTTCTTTCCTAACAGAGAATGCCATTGTCAAATGTCTAGAGAGAGGTGACGTTATAAACCTCTAAAATACTGTCCCCTGAATAGTCCTAACAGGCATTCATCTCTACAGATATCTGCAACCAGGAAAGAAAACCTGGTAGGTGTATGGCTATTTTTCCAAGATGGTACTACAACAGTGCATGGAAAAACTGCACAAAATTCATTTATGGAGGATGTCAGGGAAACAAAAACAATTTCAGGTCTAAAGATGAATGTGAACGGACATGCCTACGTAAAGGTTAGTCTAGTGAGTGAGCAGTGCAACAATATACTGTTTCAGAGGTTTCATTAAGAAATTTAGTTGCAAGGAAACAGTTTAAAGTAACAAGAGCATATTCCACAAGTCTGAAAAAAGGCTTTAGCTGAATTATTTCCACATTCTCAGATGCTTAATGAATCATCTCAAATACTGTATTCTTCCACCCTTTAACTCCCAAGATCTTTTTAGTAATTCTCTTTACTGCCTGCTATGCAATTCTTCTGATTTTACTTCTGAGAATTTGGTATTGGATCAACTAATAATCCCCTAATTGATACTTTTCTTGGTTCTCATCACTTGCTGTCTTGATTTTGTATTGATATTGTAAGGAGAAATTCTGCCTGAGTCACTCATGAGAGTTTAAGGGTTAATTAAGTTCTCAAATGTAATTGTTCAGTGCCATTGGTAATTTATTTAGTATATTTTTTTTCTTTTAGGAGGCCATAAATTAAAGACCTCTGCTGAAGAACCAGTAGATGAAGAATATGACGAAGAACCCTGCAGAGAAGCATTAGAAGGCTCAATTCCACTGAAAATAAACTGTTTCAAAGCAAGGCTGTTTTATAGAGGGCTCTGTCGACCATCCCAAGGTACACCTGTTCAGCAATCTCCATTTGATGTGAAGCACATTCTGGCCTGTAAGAAAGCTGGTTACTCTTTACCACTGAAGTGCTCTTTACATATACATCACAGCAAGTGGACATGTGTGGATAAGTCAGGAAAGAAGATTAAATTGGATTTTGCTAGTACATGTGGCTTTAATCTCTGTCATAAACATCATTAAGGACACTTGTGTTGGAATGGCTCCTTAACAAAAAGTTGTATTCATTTCATTATATTAATCATTTGTGCCACATTGTAATGACACATGTACTTTTCTAGAATGTTAAAATTTGGACTTTTTCATAGAAATATTCTTTTTTTCTGTTTTTAATGAATTGTTATACTAAATGACAGATTGAGCCAAGTTGCAATTTAGATTTTTTTATGTCATATACCCGTCCTCTGTGTTACACAGGGACATTAAAGTTAAACTCCTTCCTTAGTGCAATGTTGTTATGACTAAGGAACAAGACTAGTAATGAATAGTATTTCTTTGTATTATTTAAGATATTTATCTGGACATATTTATCCTGAATGTTAATGATGTAACAACTTCATATGTATGAATGAATTCTAGCAAAGAATAATAAATGTTTAGTTTATATAACACAATTGTTAGTAAGAGTCACTTGTTCACCTGCATTTGTAACATGCAGCTGCTGTAAACTTGAATATGCTAAGTGTGAATTGCTACGCCATTGGTGAGCAATGATGCTGATGGGAAACACCAAAGCTCATTAGAGGACTGTAACAAATATTTGTCGAGATCTATTCCCTCGGATTTCCCATCCTTAACGTTTTCAGATTTTACCAGTACAGAAAACAACAACAACAGCAAACTAAAGTTCTACTGGACACACATTGTCCATGGTATTTAAGTAATCCTTTAATTTACCTTCTACTCAATGTCACATCAGTAAAGTATGTAGTATTGACATCACTGAGTTGCTAAAAAATTGTGTTAAAACTGCTTTTCCTTGCAGTGCCCCCATACAGTTACCCTCTCAATTCAATTAAAGTTTTCCTTATTCCTATCAACACCCCATGTCATGGAATCTTCTTTCCTTTGTATACCTCCAGCCTGGAAATGACATGCCTTTGGAAAGAGCATTGCCATGCAGCTCATTAACCCCATACAGCATAAAAGTGACCAGAGTCTAGCTTCTCCTGACTACTGCAGAATCATTCATTTGGGATCATAAGAATAAAGGAAATGATCACCAACTAAAGAAGCTCCTGATTGTTAAACAAATTCTCCTTGTCAGCACCTTAGCAAATGTGTAAACAACTGTATGGAGAACGTGCATACTGATGTTTAGGTGTAGAGGGTTAATGATAGTGTCTCCTCCTCAGCACCACCCCTCCCTCTGTGTGTACAAAATGCAAGAGGCTATCAACTGCTATCAAATGTCAACCGATGTCTTGTTCTTCAAGGTTTCACTGGTTGTGGATCATGTCTAAAAGTACACACGAGTAACCACGGGTGACTACGAATGACCACGAATGACCACGAGTGGAAACATTTAAAAAAGTTAATCATTAACTAAAATAAAAATGATAATAAGAAAAAAGATATTGCAGTGAATTTAATGAGAAATATTAAAGGAAAAAGAACTGTAGCCCTCATTCATTAAAAACCCCGAATAAAAGGAAAAAAGTTAAATGCCCTGATGTTTCTGTTATTATTTGCTTGTTTATTTACACAATGGCACCGATCTGTCATTCTGCATCGCTGATTTAGTCAACCAAAAAAGTGATTTTAAGCTTTCTGAATGACTATTTAAAATA